ATCATCCCAGCCAGGGCTTTGTCAAGCCGAGACTTAAAAACCTCTAGGGATGACGCTACCGAATGCACGTCTGCAATTCCATACACTCTTGCCATCCCTTGTACAGAAACCGGAAATGCCAACCATCATCTTCCTCATCACCGTCACCACCATCATCAGTGACCATCGTCCTGGCACCTCCCAGGGACTGCATCTCCATCTCCTACTGCTCCTAAGCTGTGGTGTCACTTTTATAGTACGTTATTGCCAACGCTGTTCTGTATGGTGCATGTTCAATAAGGGATTCCCCCCTTTTTGTGAGTTGTGTTTCCTCACCTTTGTAAAGCTGGAGTCTCATTTTTCTGTTGGCTAGTATATCATTGATCTCAACTTATTATCTTATACATCAATTGGCTACCATGGCCCTTTGGTGGTTCACTATCACATTTTTAGTCCCGTCCTAACTGATTAATTTTATTCTTTCCAAGTTGTGGTGTGCCTGTAACGTTTAACAGGGTGTAAACTTAGGAAATTCCCTCTCCTGACCTACTTTAACCCATCACATATGGACCGTATCCATTGTTGTCTACCTTGGTGAAAGGTCCCACATACACATGAGCCAACTTTGCTATCTCGGTGAAAAGTCCCAGACATATATATGCTAACCCTGCCTTAGCACAACAGACAGAATATGGCCTGTAAGTTCCTTATATTACAGCCAAACTACTTGAATAAACATCTACTAAAACCTTTTCTAATAAAACTAAGAATTAAACCCATGAGGCTATGGAAATGCATAAGAAAAGTGATATTCATAGAATCATAGAGCTAGAAGAGACCTCAGGAGGTCAGCAAGTCAAGCCCCCTGCCCAAGGCAGGACCAATCCCAATGAAATCATCCCAGCCAGGGCTTTGTCAAGCCGAGACTTAAAAACCTCTAGGGATGGAGATTCCACCACCTCCCTAGGTAACCCATCCCAGTGCCCTAATATCCAACCTAAAGTATCCCCATAGTAACTTGAGACCATTGCATCTTGTTCTGCCATCCGTCAGTACTGAGAACAGCCTTTCTCCATCTTCTTTGGAACCTCCCTTCAGGAAGTTGAAGGCTGCTATCAAATCCCCCCTCACTCTTCTCTTCTGCAGTCTAAACAAACCCAAATCCCTCAGTCTCTCCTCATAGGTCATGCTCTCCAGCCCACTCATCATTTTGGTTGCCCTCTGCTGGACCCTCTCCAATGCATCTATATATAGGTAAGCAAGCTGGCTAGCTCTATAGGCACCAGAGTACTGCAATAGATTCAGTCAGTGCTACCTTTACGGTTAGCTCTATCGGCAGCAGAGTGCTGCAATAGATTCAGTCAGTGCTACCTTTATTTACGTTTCAAGGGAGAGGCAGGTGGAAAGCATCCAATTTTTCTGGGGATCTGAGCAGCATCCTAGCAGCTGAACTTTCAGAAAAAAATGATCTGTTTTCTGTGAAAATTCACCCCCAAATATGGATAATAAGGAAACAATTTAATTTGGGTCAATATTTTTCGTGGTGGGGGGGTTACCATGTGTGGTCAGAAGTCACCCGTGTGGTGTGCTAACTGGTATGTCCAGTGATGATAACCGTTCAGCTGTGTTTGTGGGTGTGCTCAACCTGTGCATTGTGCTGGCTCTGTGCAGGTGCAGCAGACTCTGACGGAGCCCCCAAAGACCTCACAATTAGACAAGGATTTAAGGCACCTGTCCAGGATTAGAGTAAACAAAACCAGGCGCTAGCTTCCCTGGATCAGATGTCTACAGTCGGACTAACAGATCTATGCTCATTACAATGGACTCAGCACAGTCAGTGGAAGATCCCACTGCCCCCCAGGCCGGGCAAAGACAGCCTCTCCAAGACACATCTTTATACACAGATACAAACAACTTATCACTCCTGATATACGTGGTTAGCTAGATACCACCCATTACCTTGCACCTAGTGGTTCGATCAAAACATCTCTATTCATCATGGTGTCATTTTACACTTGGTCCAGAGCCTAAGTCAGCATATCCCTGTTATCTGTGAAGAGTGTGCCGGTACCAAGACATTTCTTAATGAAGTGTTGTTACCATCCCTCTGGAATGCGCTTCCGGCCTGTTACTAGCACCTGCCTGTTGCTCACGGCTTCACTTTGATTTATATTAGCAAGTCTTGACTTTTGTTGGCCAGGCCTCAGGTCTCATACCAGGCCTGTGGCTTATATTTTAGGCCCTCATCTTACTGCAGCCTGTTTTCCAGCTCAGCTCCAATTCAAATTTACTCCTGGGGACATTCTGAACCAAACATTTAAGAATTTTGCACAGAATATTTTCAAATTATCCAAAATTCTACATATTTTATCTGTCAAAAACAGTATGAAATCACACTCATTTCAATTGTTTGCTCGATTATTTCAAATGACCTGTCAGCAAGTATTTCTGTAATAACACAGACAATCAGAAAATATTTTGGACAAAATGATTCCTGACTAGATAGATAAATGCAGAATTTGGAGTAGTCATTCATGCAAGTGATGGTACAGAGCCATATTTCCTGTAATGCAAAGGTTTGGGGTAGTCAGGGGTAATGAAAGAGCTGAGGGACAAGGAAGAAATTCCTGAAAAGGTGTCTGGTGTGAACTTGGAAGGTTGCTGGGCATGGGTGGGAAAGAATGGAACAGATTTTCTTGGGAGAGGGACTGTTAGGAAGTTAATCCCATTCAGACCCTATCCTCTCTCATTCAGTCAGGCAAATCAGCCCTGCCTATACATTTCCCTCCACCACCCATCAGGCATCCACATCCTTAATCCCCATCTGTCCTGCCCTCTATTTTTGTGTGACTCTATGCCCCCACTCAGCCATCCCCCTTCCCCCGAGACTAATATGAGGGAGAAAGGAGTCCAGGCCTCTGTGCCCCTACTCAGCCATCTCCCTTCCCCCGAGGCTAATATGAGGGAGAAAGGAGTCCAGGAGAGCTGGCTGTATTTTAAAGAAGACTTCTCGAGGGTACAGGAACAAACCCATGCCCAGGAAGGTTTATTCTTTTCTCTCTAAAGATTCCCATGTCCATCTCCAAATAGATTGTGAACCCTCTTGGAGGACCCACACCCTAGGGACAGGAAGAGGGGCACTGCCAGACTGGATCCAGACCCCCAAGTGCATCTAGCCCAGTAGCCAGTGGCCAGTTTCATGTTGCAGAGGATGGTGGAAGAAGCCCTGCAACAGGCAACTTTGAGATAACCTGTTCCTAGGGATATTTTTGTAGCACTGGATGGAATTTTGAAACTAATAAGTCAGTTGTAATAAATGTATGTTATAGCAAAAGTTTGGATTAAACTTAAATACAAGATGTAGGCCTCAGACAAGCAGCTCTGTTTGATGTTAGTATCCTAAAGTGACTTAGAAGTAGCCCTTTGTTCCATGCTGCAATTCTGTAAGGCTATATCTTAAAGTGACTTAGAAGTAGCCCTTTGTTCCATGCTGCAATTCTGTAAGGCTATGTCTACACTGGCATGATTTTCCGAAAATGCTTTTAACGGAAAAGTTTTCCGTTAAAAGCATTTTCAGAAAAGCGCATCTAGATTGGCAGGGGGGGTTTCCCCCCAAAACATTTTTAGGATGCTTTTCCGCAAAAGGTCTTTTTGTGGAAAAGCGTCTGTGGCCAATCTAGATGAAGTTTTCCGCAAAAAAGCCCCGATCGCCATTTTCGCGATTGGGGCTTTTTTGCGGAAAACAGTACTGTGCTGTTTACACTGGCCCTTTTGTGCAAAAGTCTTTCGGAAAAAGACTTGTGCCCAAACGGGAGCAGCATTGTATTTCTTGAAAAGCACTGACGATCTTACATGAGATCGTCAGTGCTTTTCCGGAAATTCAAGAGGCCAGTGTAGACAGCTGGCAAGTTTTTCTGCAAAAGCAGATGATTTTGCGGAAAAATTTGCCAGTCTAGACACAGCCTATATGTATTGTTTGTGTGAATGAGAGAGAGAATATTTTAGAAGAGAGAAGTGTGAAGGCCACTGCATGTGTAAACGGTCAGAGGAGGGGCTGGAGACTCAGAAGCACCAAATAATAATCAAAGCACACCGAAGACACAGACTTCCCGGGCAGGCTGACGAAACCTGAAGCTAGTGGCAAGCACTCCTTGATAGGGAACCAATCACAACTTTCACCGGAAAGACAACACCCCCCGAGGGGTCGTCAGTATACTTATATCAGATGACTGGGAGAACAACTTCTTCCCAATAAGCACATGTCCTAGGAAGATTGATTGTGATGCTAAATGACTAAGTCCTGATGAGGCAAAATGCATAAAGAGTTGCATGGAAAGAAAGTCCTATAAAGGGATGGCTTGTATGATTCTTCGGAGTTGCATGGAAGGAAAGTCCTATAAAGGGATGGCTTGTATGATTCTTCGGGTTCTGTCCTGCTAAGATCAAGACCAGGAGAGGCATCTGTCCGGACTGACATAAACCCGGCTCCTTCCTCACACCTATCCTATCTGGCCAATAGGTTGGGCTGAGCAACAGACTGTTAACTATTCCATCAGCCAGATGTATGTGTGTATGTGTGTGTGTGTAAAAATTCATATGCTACTTTGTTATATTGTCAATAAATGTGGCGTGTCGCCTTATGTCCCTGAGAAAGATCCTGTGTACTTCTTTTAAGCATTTCCTTTTCCCCAACATGCACTGGTTAGACATATTATGTGGTGTTAATCAGGAAGGTTAGAGCTCTTTCCAGTCTCTAAAAAAAAAACCTTGCTACTGTAATTGGATTTTCTGTTTACCTCAGTCTCTTTCCCCAGTGCCCCGCCCTGTCTCACGTGTGAGTGGGGACAGCCTCTCTCCCATGGTTCTAAGCATTAGACCCTGCCAGAAGCTCTCCATGTAGAGTGGGGATGAGTAGCTCATCTTGTCTCAGAGGGAAGGGTCCAGGTCACGTTAGGTAGCCATGCCCAGTAATTTTCATCTCCCATGTCACCAATGATGAAGCCAGATGCTGAATTGACTCTTCATTTGATGAACACCCTGATGACCCTTGCACGCAGGTGTTTGCTTTTCACACTGTACACGATTGGGTTCATCAGGGGTGGGATGAGTAGGTAGACATATCCAAAGAGAACCTGAAGCAAGTGAGAAGAGCAACTCCCGAATCTGTGTATCACAGACAAACCAATCTCAGGTATGTAGAAGAGCAAGAGGGCACAGAGATGGGAGACGCAGGTGTTCAGGACCCTGCGGCTCTCCGTGTGGGACACGATGCTTAGCACTGTTTTGAGGATCATCACATATGAGAGGAAGATGAACAGAGCATCCAATCCCACTGTTAAGAGTTTTACAGAGAAACCATAGATACTGTTGACGGTGATGTCCGCACAAGCCAACTTCATGACCTCCTGATACAGGCAGTAGGAATGGGAGAGGACGTTGACTCGACAGTATGGGAATCGTTTCAGGAGAAAAGGGACTGGGAATATTAGGGCCACCGATCTCAGCACACATACCAGCCCCATCTTGGCTATTCTCGGTGGAGTTAAGATGGAAGCATATCTCAGTGGGTTGCAGATGGCAACAAAGCGATCAAAAGCCATCAGTAGCAGTATAGAGGATTCAGTTAATGAAAGTGTGTGGATGAAAAAGACCTGGGCAAAACAGGCATCGAGGCTGATCTCATTAGAATTAAACAAGTACATGCCCAGGATTGTTGGCATGGTGGTTATCGATAAGCCAAGGTCCGTAAGGGCCAACATGGAAAGGAAAATGTACATGGGCTCATGGAGGGTTGGGTCTGTTTTTATAATGAACAGAAGGAATGAATTGCCTACTAGGGAAATCAGATACATTAAGCCGAAGGGGAGAGAGATCCAGAGATGCACATTTTCCTGCCGGGGTATTCCGGTGAGAAGAAAAACTGCAGAATGGGATTTGGTGTCATTGGTAGCCAACATAATGTACCCGAGAGGTCCAGGGAATTTCCAGATTTCATTCCTGAAAGGAAAAAAGCAGGAATCCAGATGAGACATGGTGCAAATCTAGAGACTCCCAGGAGTTGAAGGAAAATCAGAAAAACATGGCCTTGGTTTTCCACCATAGGTACCAAGACAGGCACTGCCAGCTTGGATCAGACCTGCAGTCCATCTACCACAGTAGCCAGTGCCCAGTTTCCCATAATGCTGAGGCAGGTGAAAGAAGCCCTGCAACAGGCAACTCTCAGACATACTGCTCTCAGGGAACTTTATACTTGGGCACCCAATAGTGAGACACAATTTGAGGCATAAATCAGGAAGTTCTAGAGCCCTTCCAAGACTTTAAAGGAAACTTCGCACTACTGTAATTGGGTTTTCTTGTTATCTGTATTAACAGGGGTGTGAAAGATTTTTTGGGGTTGGGGGCCACTGACTCAGAAAACTTGAGGGCAGGGTGGGGCAAGTGAACACAAGTGAGAAGCAAAGTTAGAAGTCCCTGACTGAGAAGCAGAAAGAAACTCCTTACATGCCTCTTGAACACCATAGAATCGTAGAGCCGGAAGAGACCTCAGGAGTCATCAAGTCCAGCCCTCTGCCCAAGGCAGGACCAATCCCAACAAAATCAACCAGCCAGAGCTTTGTCAGGTCGAGACTTGAACACCTCTAAGGATGGAGATTCCATCACCTCCCTAGGTAACTCATTCCAGTGCTTCCCCACCCTCCTAGGGAAATAGATTTTCCTAATATCCAACCTGGACCTCTCCCACTGTAACTTGAGACCATTGCTCCTTGTTCTGCCATCCATCACTATTGTGAACATCCTTTCTCCATCCTCTTTGGAATCTCCCTTCAGGAAGTTGAAGGCTGCTATCAAATCCCCCCTCACTCTTCCCTTCTGCAGACAAAGCAAACCCAAATCCCTCAGTCTCTCCTAGGTCATGTGCACCAGCTCCCTAATTATTTTGGTTGTCCAATGTGTCCACATCCTTTCTATGGTGGGGGCCCCAGAACTTGACACAATACTCCAGATGTGGCCTCACCAGAGCCGAATAAAGGGGAATAATCACTTCTCTGAATGTGTTGTCAATGCTCCTCCTAATGCAACCTAACTTGATTGAATTCCTTTTAAAAAAAATGTACTAATGACAGATTTTAACAATACTCTTAATAAAAATCAAAATCTTCATCAAGACATGTATTTTTGAAGATACAGTTGTTTAAAGAACATGCACACTCATTTTACTTTCCAAAAGTCCCTACTTCCCTAATTGAGCTAAGCAATACCAGGGAAATGTAGTTGGGAATAAGGGAAAAGGAATCAGGCCTAACAGGTTTACTCTTCCATTTTCAGGTGTGGCTGTCCTCACCAGCACCAAGTCCCCCTCCACTGACGCTGATTCAACACAAGAATAACTGCATTAAGTCAGTGCCATTCCAGTTCAAGAGAGAAGACTAGCTATTCATTTTACTTTAACTCTGACATTTCCCCAAAACATGTTTGCACCTGTGGTACAAGGTCTCACTACTGGGTCCTTAGAAGCCAGCCTGCGGGGGCAGGCTAGTAGATTTTGTGTGTTCTAGCCCTATGGGGGGGGGCTGGAACACCAGCATGGGCTCCCTGATGCTCAGCCTTGGGGGTGGATCCAGGTAATCCGGGAGCTGCATCTGGCCCCTGACCCTGAGGTTCTGCAACCCTGCATATGAACATCCAGTCCCTTTCTGGATCCTGCTAAGTATGTGGCCTCATTGACCCCTTGTGGCTGGGAGTTCCACAGTCCCCTTAACCACTTTGTGATTTGACAGTTTTGATCTTTCCCTGGATGCTCTTTCTGGCTGTCCACTTCGGAGTATGGCCCCTTGTATTATGATAGGTGTGTAAGCCTGTGGCCGATGCATGGTGAAAACGGTCTCTATAGGGATCTGCTCTGCATGCAAATTATTTATAACTAGGTTTCATCCCCTCGTTATATATCCATTTTTAAAAATGTCTCTACTCCTGGGAGTCCAAATCATGCCACTGCCTCTTTGTCCCACAGGGGATAAATTCTCAGGTCTGAGTTTTGAATTAAATATCATTGCTGCAAACACATCACTCCAGATCCACATGTGTAAATTAGAAGAGAAACCTCTTATCTATCCCTTACCCAATGCTCCTGGTGACCCCCAAGGATCCCTACAAGAGCAGCTAATGGGCTTTGCTGGTCATCATTGACTGACTTCAGAGAACTCATTCATCTTACAGGCTTCTCTCTCTCCTGCATCCTTTCCACATACAAGTGTCTATCACTGCCGGGGGAGAGGGGGGAGGATGTCTACACATCAAAGTGATTTCAGGATACCAGACGTATCCTTACTACTTACTCCTGTCCTGACCCTCTACCACTCCTGACAGCAGCTATCATGTACAGCCATGGTGCCTTGTGCTGCGCCCCACCTATAGGCACTGACCCCACAGCTTCTACTGGCCATGGTTCTTCATTATTGACCAATAGGAGCTGCAGGAGTGGTGTCTGCAGGTAAGGACAGCCTGGGGAGGTCCCCTGCTCACAAAATAGCCACATTTTCACAAGCCACCCATTTTCGAAATAACGGGTGCACTATTTCGGCAAGGGTTCAAGGATGTCTCAAACTAGCACTTTATTTCAAGTTTCGGCACTGTGTAGACAGACCAAATTTCAAAATCCATTGAAAGTTTTGTTATCCGGCTCTCTGTTAACCAGAAAATTTTGTTGACCAGCATTGACCCCAGCCACAATACTGTCACAGCTTCAGGCACACATGCCTGGCTTGGTTTACCATGATTGGCTTCACAATTTTTTATTTAAGAAGTACTAATCATCTTTAACTCAAAATAGAAATGTGAGACCAACTGCCTCACACTACAAAACTACCAGTATAAAAAACCTGAGTTTTATTATTATTGTCCATTGGTTTTTCCTAGGTTGATGGGACCCTCAGATAACTGGAATTTTTAGATAAGCAAGTGTGCCTGATAACACAGATTTTACTGTAGCCTGTTTTGAAATAAACTATGCAATGTGCATAGCACAAATTACTTCTCTCCTTTTTTTGAGTTTAGAGGGCAGTGTAGACATAGTCTGGCAGGTTATAAGTAGCTATTAAAAGTATTTGCACAAGAGAGCGTCTACACTGGCACAGATGCTTTTGCGCAAAAGACATCTTTTGCACAAAAGCATCCGTGCCAGTGTAGACGCTCTCTTGTGCAAGAAAGCTCCAATGGCCATTTTAGCCATCGGGCTTTCTTGAGCAAGACATTAACTTGGCTGTCTACACTGGCCCTCTTGCAGAAGAATACTTGCGCAAGAGGGCTTATCCCTGAGCGGGAGCAACTGAGTATTTGCACAAGAACCACTGATTTTGTACCGTACAAAGTCAGTGTTCTTCCGCAAGTACTCGCGGCCAGCGTAGACAGGCAGCAAGATATTGTGCAAAATCTTGCCAGTCTAGATGCAGCCGTTGTGTGCACCAATATCTAGCTGAATGTTCAGCTGACTTCAGACATGCTTGTATTTGAGGTGATCTGTAACAGCACTATTATACTACCCTTATGAAGAAATCTCTAATCTCATAGAACTAGAAGGTACCTTGGGAGATCGTTAAGTCCACTCCCCTGTGTTCACAGCAGGACTACATACCATCCCTCACAGATTTGCCCCAGATCCCTAAGTGGCCCATCCAAGCATTGGGCTCATCACTGCCCGGGTTTAGCAGCCAATGCTCAGACCACCAAGCTATCCTTCTCCCTTTTCATGCACATCAGCTGTAGTCTTTGCTGAAACTCAGATGAGGTCAGCTCCCAGGCTGCAGTGCTGAGCTGCACACGAGAGAGGAGAGGGGAGCAGCCCTCAGTAGCCAAAGAACAGACCAAGGACTATTCAGAAAAACTGGACATGCACAAGTCCATGAAGCTGGCTCTTCTGCATCCCTGAGAAATCCTGACTTGAGGCACCAGGGATTTAAACTCAGCTCAGTTTCAGCCTCATATCTGAGTAGCTTCAACAGCCCACAATGGAGCACTGGCACAGGTAATGGAGGGTTCCTAAGCCTGCCCTCCATCCCATCACCGAGTCACCGCCACAGCCCCACTGAGTCCTCTGCCGCTGCACAGAACAGTTGCCAATGCAAACAGCCTGCAGCCTTCACCCCGCACTTGGCATGTTACAGACAGTGACACCTGCCATCGTACCCAGTTCTTGCTAGAAGGGAGTCGCTGGCACCAGTGGTCTTCACCCTAAAGCACAAGGAATCACCGGAGAGGTTGCATGGGCAGCAGGCAGTGTGTGTTCAGATGGGGCGGCAACTGCCTTTATGCAGCATGTTTGTACCTTCCCTTGGGGGCCACTTGGCCATCAGGGAACCTCAGCTGCTTGGCTTCGTGTGCACCAGCTTTAACCTTGACACAGCCAATGGCAAATGGCAGGAGGCCAAATCCAGGGAATGGGGGGATGATGCTAAACAACTGGCTTGCAGCACCCGCCCTGCTGCAGGCTCCATTCCTGGAATCCGGGCTTGTCAGCCCTGTACGTATGGTTCTATTCCAGTGCTGTTCCATATACTCATAAATGATCAGGAAAGGAGGCTAAATAGCAAGTAGGAAAATTTTGCAGATAATGAAAAACTAGTGAAAGTAGCTAAATCCCATGCAGATTGCAAAGAGCAATACAATGGCTGATGAAATACAATGTTCTTGAATACAAAGTAATGCATGCTGAAAAACATAAGCCCAACTACACATATAAAGAGATGGAGTCTAAATTCTCTGTTATCACTCGAGAGAGAGATCTTGGAATCGTTGTGGATAGTTTTCTGGAAATATGCATTTAATGTGCAGCAACACTCAAACCAGTGAACAGAATACTGAGACTCATTAAGAAAGGTATAGATCATAAATCAGAAAAATCATATTGCCTTTATAGAAATCCGTGGTATGCCCACATTGTGAGTACTGCTTTCAGATAGGATCTCTTCATCTCAAATTTATTTTGGAATGAGAAGAGTTTCAGAAAAGCTTATGAAAAATAATTTGGAATATGGAACGGCTGCCATATGAAGAGGGATTAATAAGACTGGGCCTTTTCAGGTTTGAAAAGAGAGGATTAAGTGGATATATGGTAGTGAACTATAAAACTATGAATGGCATAAATAAAGTAAGAAAGGAAGAGCTATTTGCTCCTTTTTATAACACAAAACCTAGCGACTGTCAAATGAAATTGCATGTTTTATTTTGACTGTATTTCAAAATAGCTTCTTTCAAAATTTGGTGCATTGACACAGAGCCAAATTTCGAAATAACGCACTATTTTGACACATCCCTTGACGCTTGTGGAATGATGGCTACAGGGATACTGAAATAGTGCAACGGTTATTTCAAAAATATTTTGAAATAACGGGCACATTTAAAAGACAGAGGGTAGCTATTTATCCTGGAGGTAGCCCCACTCTCGAGAGGTTCCTTTTGCTCTAGAGGCAAAGAAACAGAACTGGCCCATTTACTTTCCTTTAGGACACCAAGGAGCTCTTATGACCCAACCTAGTCCCCTGTATCTCCAAGGTCATCTTCCCATCCATTGACCCCCTTCTTGCGGAAGCAGCACTTGATGGAACTTGCATGAGCCTGGGGCTATTGGGCTCTGCCATGTCCCTGTTCCAGGTGTGAAGCTGACCTCTGCCCCCAGCCTGCTCTCTGCCAACCAGATTTCTAAGGTGAGATTTTTGCTGTATTGCTTTTCACTAAAACCCACCCAGCCTCCTTCGCCTGCAAACACTGGTCCAGTGTCTTTGCTGAAACTCCCAAAGCCCCAGAGACACTCCAACATTCCCCTCGGAAATCCCTGACCAGCATCACAGGTGCCTGTGGTAAGAGGTTGCTTACAAATGAATGTCTGAGGTGCTGTTCTGTGGAACCCTGACGCAGCCCTGACCTTAGGGTCCCAGAGCACTTGGATACCTTCTATGTATTTATCTTTCCACCACTTCTCTTACCCATGGCGAGGCTATTAGCCACTTCGGCAGAAGCTCAGAGACAGCCAGTGGCTTGCCAATGGGCACACACACCAAAGGAATAAAAACCAGCCATCTTGAGTCACAGAGCAGTGACCAGACCTCACAGGACCAGCCTTCCGGCCGTCTGAGCAGTGACAGGCCTGGCTGGATTCTCTGCTGTGCTTCACTGGCCTGATCTCCCCCCTGGCTCAGTGGAGTTTGAAGCAACTTGTGGGCTGAACAGAGTGCTCCAGCCAAGAGTGCTCCAGCCAAGTCGATGGGGAAATTTGACACCCTAGAATGCCACAAAGGAACCCAAGGTAGCTCTCCCGGTGCCCGGACCTTCTCTCAAAGGGTATGTCTACACTACCCCGCTAGTTCGAACTAGCGGGGTAATGTAGGCATACCGCACTTGCAAATGAAGCCCGGGATTTGAATTTCCCGGGCTTCATTTGCATAAGCGGGGCACCGCCGTTTTTAAAATCCCGCTGGTTCGAACCCCGTGCAGTGCGGCTACACGGGGCACGAACTAGGTAGTTCGAACTAGGCTTCCTAGTTTGAACTACCATTACTCCTCATTCCACAAGGAGTAATGGTAGTTCGAACTAGGAAGCCTAGTTCGAACTACCTAGTTCGTGCCCCGTGTAGCCGCGCTGCACGGGGTACGAACCAGCGGGGTTTTAAAAATGGCGGCGCCCCGCTTATGCAAATGAAGCCCGGGAAATTCAAATCCCAGGCTTCATTTGCAAGTGCGGTATGCCTACATTACCCTCCTAGTTCAAACTAGGAGGGTAGTGTAGACATACCCTAAGGTCCTTGCGAAGACTTATCCTCACCCTGGGATACTTGAAACAAGAGCCCCTTTTGTGGGGTCTCGTTAATTCAGTCTCCTCTTCTCACGACTGTTCCCCGCTTCAAGTGCAGAACGTGGGGGCCCACAAAAGACCTTCAAAATATCCTGCTAAAAAGCTTCCATTTAAAAAACTCCCCAAGGTCACAAACTCCCTGACCGTGGGTGGTACACGGGCACCAGCCCAATGCAAAACCCCTTGGAAGGAAAAATCCAGGCCTTATTCCTGCTCAGCCCATTCCTCTCCCAGCTCCTCTTTCAGCACTCCCACAAAGGAAACCGAAGCAGGGAAAACTTGTTTCATTTTACAAATCTTTCACTCTCTTCCCATTGGCTCTTCTGGCTCCCTGCCGACACCTCCTGCATACCCCAGTGTTCTGGGTTTAACCCTTTAGTCACTGTACAGTGGGAGGTTAAGAAAAGATTAGTGACTCTCCCATCCATCATATCTCCAAAACACAGGCACTGCTACCCTCCATCCTGAAACTTTACTTGGGAGTTCTGCTTTCTGGAGTCAGCATTGGTGCAGGCTTGCCACACCCTTACTTCTCCTTTTCCCCTGCGGCCTCACTCCCTGCAAACATCTCTTCCCACAAACCCTGTCCCCTACTCCCCCACTTCCCCCAACATGCTGCACCCTAGCCAGGCTAGAGCCGGGACATGGCAAAAGTTGCTTGGGAAGCCTAGGCTGCTGTGGAGTGCCCCAGACTCTCCACCATCCCAGGGCTGAATCTCCTGGATGGTAACACAGGCTGGGGGCTTCTCTCTTCTCGGGGGGAGGTAGAGGCTCTGGCACACCTTAGAGTGGCTGTAGTTCCCTAGGCAGCTTTCACCGTGACCCTGCTCTGCCTCCTGGCCTGTCGACAGGGGTGGAGCCTTTGATACTGAGGAGGAGGGGGTGTGGCCTTGTCTGAAGAGACGAGGCACGGGGTGGGGCCTTGCCTGAAGACATGAGGCAGGGGGTGTGGCCTTGTCTGAAGAGACGAGGCAGGGGGTGTGGCCTTGCAGGAGGAGGAGGAGCAGAGGGCTAGGTCTGAACACACAAGACGAGCAGTATGAGTGGGGTCACACAGAGGATGACCTGCCTGCATGAGTCTCATTTTTACCCTTTGAGCAAAGTGGTCACCCTACACCGAATGGGCTGGGCTCGGAGCATGTCTGGCTGTGCCTCTGAGGGAGAATTAAGGACCATTTCCACAGGAGTAAAACAAAAAATGGACGGGAGTAGGAAGGAATGTGGGCCTGAGTCTTTGGCCAGGACTCCTGTGTGTCAGACCCTCCGTCACACACACACAGCTCTGCCCTGCCTCGTGGGGAGTGGGCCCAGCAGGTTGGGAGTTGCCTGACTGGCTTCCCCTGGGAGTCCTGCATGAATCACGTCTCTGACACGACTCAGTCACAAGCCCCTGGCGGAGGACGTGGGGGAAGGGTGGGTGTCTGTGTCCCTTGAATAGCCCCTTTTCTCAACTAGTGCAGGGCTCATGGGTCACACAGCACCCAGCGTGCTCAGGAATGGCCAGGACTGTGACTGCAGAACAGCTCTGCAGCTTTTTTCAGGGCCTGTGGATGCTTAACCAGAGACAGGACAGTGACAGCTCAGGTGTCATGGGAAACAGCCACATCCTTTGTCTTTATTGACTGTAACAACAGGAATTCTAAGGTGGAAGCAGCCCCTGATATTGCTCCTTACAGGCCAACATCCCACAGAGGCCCTTGTTCTCCAGGAACACAGTCACTTTATAAATTCTGTTGCCTGGCTTGGCCTCTTTACCCCCATGCTCTGTCTTCCCTCAACAGCCCCTTTTCTGTAGCTCTGTCAGCACCAGAGTGGAGTTCTGTTCCTTCAGGATGGAACAGGCCTGTGTTTTTCATGCCTGTCACCAGTGCTGTAACCTGGGTTTCCAGACATGAAAATGGATGATGAACTGCACTTTCACTTGATGAATGCCCTGGTTATCCTTGCACGAAGGTGTTTGCTTTTTACACTGTACACGATCGGATTCATCAGGGATGGGACCAGCAAGTAGACGTAGCCCAGAATAATCTGAAGCAGGGGAGAAGAGCCCTTCCCAAATCTGTGTATCACAGATAGGCCAATCTCTGGTACGTAGAAGAGCAGGACGGCGCAGAGGTGGGAGACGCAGGTGTTCAGAGCCCTGAGACACTCCGCCTGGGACGCGATGCTCAGCACAGTTTTGAGGATCAGCACATAGGAGAGGAAGATGAACACAGAGTCCAACCCCACTGATAAGAGTTTAATAGACAGGCCATAGATGCTATTGACTGTGATGTCCGAACAAGCCAACTTCATGACCTCCTGGTGCAGGCAGTAGGAATGGGAGAGGACATTGGCTCGACAGTATTGGAATCGTGTCAGGAGAAAGGGAAGTGGGAAATTTAGGGACACAGATCTTAGCACAAACACCAGCCCCATCTTGGCTATTCTCGGTGGAGTTAAGATAGAAGCGTATCTCAACGGGTAGCAGATTGCAACAAAGCGATCAAAGGCCATCAACAAGAGCACAGAGGACTCAATGTATGAAAGGGAGTGGATGAAGAACAGCTGGGCAAAACAAGCATCACGGCTGATCTCTTCAGACTTAAACAAGTATATGCCCAGTATCGTTGGCATGGTGGCTATCGATAAGCCAAGGTCTGTGAGGGCCAACATGGAAAGGAAAATGTACATGGGTTCATGGAGGCTTGGATCTGTTTTTATAATAAACAGAATGACTGCATTTCCTCCTATAGAAATAACATATATTAAGCTGAAGAGGATAGAGATCCAGAGATGGAGGTATTCCTGCTCAGGTATCCCAGTGAAAAGGAACATTGCAGAGTTGAATTTGGTGTCATTGGCAGCTGACATCGTGTACTGGGCAAGTCCGAGGAGATTTGTGTTTTTCTTCCTGAAATTAAAAAGAACAGGGGAGCAGGTGATATATCGTGTGACATCTTTCTGCTCTCGGTACAAGTTTAGAGACTTTATAGAATTCAGGAAAGATCAGCAAAAACATAGTCCTGTATTTTTACATCAATAGGAAAAAGGCAGTGCCAGATTGGATCAGATTTGTTGTCCATCTAACCTAGTGTCCAGTGGACAGTTCCAGCTTCTTCAGAAGAAGGTGGAATGAGCCCTGCAATAGACAGCTATATTATAATCCACTTCCAGGGTCTGGACCATCCCTGATAGATGTCTATCTAACCTGCTCCAAGTATGGAGATTCCACAACCTCCCTAGGCAATTTATTCCAGTAATTAACCACCCTGACAACTGCCTCTTTAACAACTGCATCTTCACATCAAAAGCTAAGAGTAGCACACTTCCAAACCCCTTAATTAGCCTCATTAACTGTCCTTCAACTGACAGGTACCTTTTCTTTTGCTGTTATAAATACCTTGGTTTCTGTTTATTTCCACTCCAGCTCATCTGATGAATTGGTTTAACCCGTGAAAGCTCATGATACTATATGATTTTGCTAGTCTCTAAGGTGCCACAGGAGTATTCATTTTAGAAATCTAAGTACACTATAACTACTGGACCCCCATTGTCCAAATGCTAGTTCATCCCCTCAAAGAATGCTAGTAGATTAGTAAGGCATGATGTCCTCTTACATAAACTATGTTGACTTTTCCCCCAACAAATTATGTTCATCTATATGTCTGATAATTCCATTCTTTACTACAGTTTCAGCTATTTTACTCAGTACTGAAGTTAGATTTACCAGTCTGTAATTGCTAGGATCACTTCTAGAGCCCTTTTGAAAAATTGTTGTCACATTAGCTATTCTACAGCCATTTGGTAGAGTAGATGATAGGTAGTATAATAGGAGAGGTTACAAAGCACAGTTAGTAGTTCTGCAATTTCACATTTGAGTTTTTCCAGAACTCTTGGGTAAATGCCATCTGGTCCTGGTGATTTGTAACTGATTAGTTTATCAATTTGTTTCAACCCTTCTTCTAATGACACCTCAATTTGGGACAATTTCTCAGATTTCTCACATAAAGAATTTTGCCTAACATCGTCAACCATGAAGAACAATGCAAGGAATTCATTTAGTTTCCCCATAGTAACCTTATCATCCTTGAGTGCTTCTTTAGCATCTCGATTGTCTAATGGCCCCCACTGGTTGTTTAGCAGGCTTCCTGCTTCTGGTGTACTTAAAAAAAAAGGGCTATTACCTTTTCAAATGTTGGTTAGCTGTTCTTCAAATTCCTTTTTGCCTTTCCTAATTATATTTTTACATTTGCCAGAGTTAAGGCTCCTTTCTATTTTCCTCACTAGGATTTAACGTCTGCTTTTTAAACAATGCCACTTGTTATGCTAGTACTTGTATCCTCTCCCTATGCCAGGGTCTGTAGATAGCTGACAGGTTACATGCTAAGACAGTTAGTTACTTAGTGGGGCTGCGGAGGGAATGGCATGCATGCCAGGGTCTGTAGATAGCTGGCAGGTTACAAGCTAAGACAGATAGTTACTTAGTGGGGCTGCGGAGGGAATGGCATGAGAAACGGGTGAATAGCGAAAACAGGCGGGTTCCACTAAAATCCAGTGGAGTGCAAGTGATTTCACTCATGCTCCTGCAGAATGTGATGGACTTGAATTATGTAGAACTACTATTACATTCCTCTTTCCTGCACCTTAGCTCCACTCTGTGCTGGAACACAGACCAGCAGTTCTTTTCACTCAGGACCTTTTGGAAAGCCTTGCACAGGTATGGCCATGGGCCTGTGTTCATGACTCTCAATGGAAGTGTTAGAAACAGCTTCTGGTCAGGTTCCAGAAGACAGCATCCCTGAATGAACAGTTAGACACAGGCACCCATTTCAAACAGGATGTGGAGTTCTTCTGGAATACTTTGTAAAGCAAAAGCCTTTAAATAATAAAGTTACCACTCCTCCTTTCTATATAAATTCCAACTGCTCTGCTGTTGGGTTTCAATAAATATTCATGGTAAAGTTACCACCCTTCCTCTCTCTATAAATTCCAACTGCTCTGCTGTTGGGTTTCAATAAATATTCATGTCATTAAATGTTCTGCACAGCTGTAGTTTTGTATCCACCGAGTAATTAATTCTTTTCCCACTAGTCTTCCTTCAGAAATAATTTCTCAGATTAGAACAAGGCTTAAAATGTACTTATGGATTTCTTCAGAACCTGGAAAGATCATGGTATCTCTGCCCTCATTCAGTCACTTGTCAGCAAATAAAAGTCTAATTGGCTCTCCGTCCTGGAGTTAATAGCTGACTGGTTCCCTCTGATTCTGTCTGGAGTGGGAAGACTCATTGAAATGCTCATTCCCTGAGCTCTCATGCTCTAGTATATACTGACACAAGCAATATGCATGATACAAGTAGGACACAAAGCAATGGGATTAATCTGCAGCAAGGGAGGTTTAGATTAGACATTAGGAAAAACTTCCTCCCTGTCAGGATGGTTAAACACTGGAATAAATTGCCTAGGGAAGTTGTGGAATTTCTATCCTTGGAGATATTTAAAAGCAGGTTAGACAGACATATGTCAGGGATGGTCTAGATGGTGCTTGGTCCTGCCATGAGGGCAGGGGACTGGACTCGATAACCTCTTGAGGTCCCTTCCTGTTCTATAATTCTATAAGACCAGCAGTGGTTATTCAGGCATGATGAGGGTTTGCAGAAAGTGAATTTCAAGGACAAATGAATGAGTATTCATGGAAATGGAACTTCATTTCACACTGGAGAACCTCTATTGCGCTCTCTCTCTCTCTCTCTCTCTCTCTCTTTCCCACACACACAGACACACAAAGCTGTATGCATACAATCTGTAGCATGTGGGAAGTGCATTGTGACAGACATGGGGCTGAGCTGCTATTATGAATGTGTGTGTCTCTTAAACCCAGTTCTTGGAATGCTTGCTGCAGAGCTATTTTGGCTTAACGAGTGGAAAGTTTATGTGATGTCTGCAATGGGTTAACCAGTCTGGCTTCTCTTAGTTTCATAGTGGACTGCTGGAAAACAAACAGGAAGGGAAGCAGCAGCTCAAGAAAAGCCGTTGCTCAGTGAACACCTCAGGGAAGCTGAGAGACCAACGAGGGTAGCTCGTTGCTGGAAAGAGATGAGAAACTCTACTGACTGACAGGCCCAGGCCCGGCTGGGGAAGATGGAAACCCCTTGGATTGTCTGGGTTCCTTTCACAGTGAGGAGAGAGACGTGGACAGACTAGTGGCTAAAAGTAAGATACCAAACTCTTTTTGAAAAAAAA